CTCGTTCGAATAAATGTAGGTTTACACGTTTATACCAAATTTCATCAAAATCGGATAATCTTTGCTCGAGTTATCGTTCTAACGGACACATATTATATAAACGCCTCTAGGGACCTCAAAACGAAAAAGTAAATCGATCCCGGGTCTAGGTCTTACCACGATACCTACTGTAATAGCTTATTCCCTATATGGGAAATTCACTACAAGTATGTCTTGACTAAAATCTAAGAACGAAACGCATAGGCTAAAATCCACTACTTGCGGGACTCTATAAAACCAGACGATGACTTTTGTTTTATGAAATATATATTTATATCCAATGCTTATTTTCTGCTGCTAAAAATGTAAGTGTTTATTAGGCCTACAAACGAAGTCTGAATGTTCTACCTGTCAGTCCACGTTGTACAGCTAACTGAATGTTTTATTAATTACACTATACTCGACTGCCTTCACTTTGTATCAATTGTTTTTTTCTTACTTTTTAATTGGAAAAGTAAATTGCTATTGGATCTTTTAATGTGATAGGAAGTAAATGAAACATTGTAACCAATGTCCTTGGAAGGTTCCCTTGGATTTATTTTTATACGATTTAAAGCGAATTTTACTGTTTGCATGTCAAAATATTTTTCAAAGATTGTAAACGAATGGTCTACAGCTACATTTTACAGATACTATCATTGACATACAAATAATCCAAGGTAATTTGCTATTCCGTGGTAATTATTGATTTGGTCGGGTTGAGAATAGTAGTAACACCCCTCGGAACAATATCTTTAACTTTTGAAAAGTACCTGAGGGTTTAAAGCAAAATGAAATACAAATTATAAGATTCGTCGTATTCCATAAGTTTTTTTGTATAAAATAATAAAATATACATACTGGCTTATATTATATCACGATGTTCTTCGCTTTATTGAAAGAAAATGTTTTTTAATATGAACTAAAGAAGTCCTCACTAGTCTTTCAAAATGTTGATGGAGATATTCTTAAGTATGATATAACATAATTCTTTATTTACATCCCTGACTTAAATGACTCAACAGCAACAGCTGACTGACATCTAATTCCCACTGTAAAATCCCCGAAGTATGCATAAACGTTCTAAGCATCCAAGATACAAGCTAGGACGGTCGGAGAAAAAGCGTTGGTATTTATCAAAATAATGATAACGAATAGGCCAGAGCCAGCCAGAGTTGATATGATGATGTGGGGGGAGCATGTGCGCCCCATGATTTATCAGCTACTGTATGGTGTTGAGGGGGGTTTGGGGGGTGGAAGCCCTCCTAACTTGATAAGTGTCAAGTAGAGAGATGTAGGACCCACCACCTCCCGTCAACTTTAAGTAGTTGTCCAAAGAAAGTCCGACTTAAGATTCTTTTCTGTTCCCTTTTTCTGTTTGTTTCGCCCTTACACTTTTGCTCTCTTAATCCACCTCTGTCCATTGCTACACTTTTGGAGGTGATAAGTTGAAAAACCCAACATTGAAGTCAGTCGCAATAGTGGGTTGACGTCTTCCATTGTTTTATTGACTTCTAATTTGTTGTAGTAATGTTTTTGTATGCCATATCCTAGTTAAACGCTAGGAATCGTTTGGGAAAGAATCGTGAACATTTATTTTATAAAACAAGTGCTATTTAAGTGGACAGTTTTATATATTTTTACACGACCTATAATTTAAAAAAAAAATAACGCATATTTGTCCGTTACTAATTCGAGAATGGAAGAGCGCACGTATTAAGCGCCCTAAATTGATATATAAATTCCTCCAAAAAATATGGTGGTAATTTTTTGACAAGGATATCTTAAATGTTGGAACCAGCTATCGGAGAACCCTCAGAAAAAAACTCGAGGTTTTATTCTGAGAGAAATCTGCAATCAATATTTTAATATAAATTCTAGTCAATTTGAAATAATTAAATTTCAACTAACAAAATATAAGCTTGGGAAGTTGATCAGTCCTCTCGTTCTTGTGCGGTGCTAAACTTTCCTATCCTACATTTCCTCTTACAGAATTACTTTCCTCACTTCAATTCCAGTGAGATTTAAATGTGTAGTATACTCTTACTTTGTAAAACGACTAACCGTTTTCAGGCAATAACTCAAAACTTTTGTCAGAGAAAATAATGTAGAGCCCTTTCTTAGATATATTTTCAGGACGTTCCAAAGCCAATTTTAATTGACTTGAACGTGCGAAACTAACTTTTAATCTAGGGGGCGACGGTGCAACTTCCGATTTTAGTGGGTCTACTTCATATTGGAACTATTTTACGCGATAAATGTTGTTCACGCCGTTAACTAGGAGTTGGACACATTGTTTGGGATGGGCGTGGACAAAGTCAAAGCAAGTTGTAATTTATTCATAGCCAGTTAAGTAAATAAACAGACCCTCCTGTCCATCAAAATGTCTCTAATTATAAACAACCAGGCCAACCTTTCCCGACCTCTGATGAGTGATTAGATATTTACAATACTTCTAGTGCTTGTAGTGACTAATACTTCAAAGCTGATAACAAAATACAGGGTGTCCCCGAACTCTACCGGCCTTTTAATGTACCATTCCTGGATCAGAAGACAAACTAAAATATCACGTTAACAATTTCCAAAACTCATGGGGTATGATGGGTTAGCCTCTGGATCAAGATAATGCAAATATAAAAGGTTTAATTTACCTGAAATGAAATGAAATGAAAATCCTTTATTTCAACAGGCAAAGTTAGGGCCACATGGCCCTTTCTTACACTTAACCTGCTTGCGTCGATTGATCCTTAAGTTATAAAATAACTACGGCCGTTTCGTGCTGCTTAAGCGAGCACATCTTCAGGTTGTAGGAACGTTAAAACATGGTCTTCTCATCCGTGGATGGAGTCGTCAGCACATTTAGGACACATAACACGAAACACATACGAAACATTCAAGTATTTACAATTAAAAAAACTTGGCCAAGTTGTCCGAATTCGAGTTGCATCTTGTTTTTTTTCACAAGATTGAAGACTTTTTGCACTGAATTGAAATTAGGTACATAGATTAATAACGCGAATACCTACTTTGAGAAAAATATGACTTTTTTTGTTATTTTTATTTAAAAAATAGCAACCATTTACATTTTTTAAACTGAAATGACATAGAAACTGCATTAGTAAAGCAAACTATTTTGGTGATGTATTGTCACAGGGAATTTTATTACAATTCCAACAATACCAAATTAATGAAAATTGGCTCATAAATAAGGATAAAACATATTTTCAGATACTGTGTGTGAAGCAATATCTGCTGTTTGGAATGAATATTCTTCTTTCAAATGTTACCTAACTTTTGAGCGAACCTTGTGGCGTTTTCCAAAAAGCTTTGTAATCGGTGGAATTTAAATTATTCCATATATACGAAAAATTTAAACTCTTAATAACAGAACAGCATAATTTATATGCATGCGATACTTCATATACTTATTACTTAAAGTACGTTCTCTTATTAAAGTTTTGACAAATCTTGAACTTTTAAGTGTCATTTAGTCGGCCTGTGTCAAGTTTTTATGACTTCCAATAATAATCCTTCATGATGTAGTTATAAAGTTAAATGAGACCTAGTTCGTAGGCTGTAGTTTAACTATTTGCTGTGATCTTTGTATGTAAGAACTTAAGAAATAAACTGCCTTATTTTTATATGTAGGGAAATTTGCAACATGGGAAACAAATTCATCATAAGTTAGTTCTTCTTTGTAACCACAATTTTAATCTTTTATATACAATTTCTTAATTGTCACCTACGTATATTATATATTATTGGTAATATGTAATCAAAAGAAAAAATAGTCCACTTTGCCATACATAAATCGTAAAAATTAATTTAAATGTAATTGCATGCTTGAAATACAAAAGACAAACACCTTCCATATTCTTATTACCACCTATAAGTAAGCATTTACATAATGAAAGAAATTTAAAATGTATATGTTTTGTCAAGGTTCCATAGTAAACTGTAAAAATGTGGAATCCTGTCATTATTTCACACAGCTATCAACACAAACATCGGTCAATAGATTCGCTTTCAATTTGGTGAGCTATTCATATTTTTATCCGTCTTTTGACATCTGCCCTTTGAAGTTTCAAACCTTGGGTAAATCCTACCCTAATTATATCTGCATCAATTTTATATCCGCTTACTTCGAATCCGTCAATCGTTACGTGTGTCGTGTTAACGGTCAGCCATATTGGGTTTCATGTACTAAGAATGGATCATTTCAATAAACACAATTTTATGTAAAAATTACATTACTATTTGGACATTTGGCAGACCAGCGTTATTTGATTGGGGGTTTCCTCCCATAATTTTTGTTTCTGATTTGCACTCAAATGTAATTGTCTAATAATTTTCTTAAATTAGTAGATAATTATTGTGAACTTCTTCCTGTTTGTCAACTTGTATTTATTGTTGCTATTTATTGTTGTATTTATTGTTATCTCGTAGCTTATTACTGTTCTAAATTGTATTATTCCTTAAAATTTTTTTTTTTTTTAATCTTAATCATCATTTGTATTGGCGTCAGATGTTGAAACGATAAATAAATAACATTTAAGGGCATTTTTGGCCATTTAAAAAATAGTGTGAAACAGAGATTAAATTGAGAACTTTTTTTATATGATTTCTTATTAAAAATTAAGTTATGTCAAAAATTTTAGCCTAGTGTGTTTATGAAAAATATAGTTGTTCCGATGAACTCTTACATTATTATTTGATTTATTTGTGTTTTTAAATACCATCATTTCCTTTACAGCATTGAACGTTTAGTGGACAAAAGTTTTTTCACTTTTTTTCGTGAGTTTTTTCTAAAGTTTGTAGTTTTTAATATTCATCTAAAAGTCATCTCATACGTTTTCTGGAACTCCAAATATTACCTGAAATGTAAAATTTTACATTAGGTACCTACTTACCTTGTATAACTCGAATTTATATGCAAATTTCATGAAGATTACAATCGGTTGACGATGACTGGCCTGTTCTAGGTCTCAACATGGCGACCGCCTATCCTTGCAACCAGGATAGGCTTATCCAGTGCGCAGGATCTTTGCGAGTTCTCTCGGATAACCAGGAGTTTGGATTCGCCGCCAAGAAGGAAGATCTGGATCTCATTTGTCCGTAAGTGAAACTTTCAAATGGAGAAATATAATTTATTTGATCATATAAAATAGACAATTTGTTTTTTCCTTTTTGGTCCGAGTAAAACTGTACTAAAAACCGTGCGTCACTTTACGAACTGAAACGTTTATCAGTGATGTCCTCTACTTGGAAGATTAATATTTCCGTAGTATTCAAGATAAAACCTCTGATGTCTTTGTACTATTTAGTTTCAAGGCCCAAAAATAAATACAAATTGCTCTCTGAAATTGGGAACGTTTTCCCCCATGTTATGTGTTGCCATACATTGCTTATTTCCTTGCTCGTCCTCATACAATTTGTCATTCTTTCATTGAATTTTCAGATTTTAAAATTTAAATGACCCATTAACTACAATATAAACTTATTGAGTGTAAATTTATTTTGAATTCCCTTTTATCATGAACCTGTTTGAATACAATTTAAATGAATATGTATTTGATATAAAATTGGCTTGGTCAGTACAAAGTTTGTTTCCAACTCGAGTTAAAACGTTTTTACATCCCAGTTTTGGCAAGACAGCCACAGATATCAAAAGTTTTTAGCACAAGTTTTTACATAGGTTGACCACTTCTCATGCTTATCTCTTGCACAATTACACCACATTATTCCATCAGTTAATTTATCATGCTAGTAATCTTTGGTCCACGGCCTTGTTAGTAATATAAATTACATGCGGTATACCGCAGTTCATAGAATGTTCAACCGACATCGCTTTTATCGCGAAATGCGATATTATATTGATTAACATTCAAGCAGACAACTAAACATTTGATTTAAATCTCGTGATTACGATATCGAATAAATAATCGAGATATTTATCTAGTTGCGTATATCCACCCTAATTTAGAAGCACATTCCTTACTACAATTCCTCAGGAAATGTCGTTTGTGAATTTTATGTCCGTAGACTATAATTGACCCCTCAATTCGCCCAGATTGATACAATTGCGGCCGACCGCGAGGGGAGGGAGCCAAGGGCGTTTTGATATCGGCACTTGATCCGAATGTTTGTCAACAGTGTCATCGCGCAGGTGTCTACTAAAATTACCCAGGGACGTGTAGAGCTCTGTTGAGTCTCGGAGTGGAGCCAACATCACTGCCAAGCCCCCGGGTCCGACATCTCTACCAATGGAGAGAGAATAGTTATTATAGAACATATTGAGGAAAGTGGCACTTTATTTAAACGAGGGAAAAATATTTATGCATGGGGCTATGTGCGTCAATTTTATCGAGAAATAAACATACACTTTGCACACGAATCGCACATCATATTTTAGTCTGACAATTGACAAATAAACAATCTGATTCACGTTGTTATTCCTAAATCATAACGTAGTTTGACGTTCATAGTTTCCCCAAGGTTATTACTAGGTTATTATTAGGTAGTAAATTTCGTACTAGATATTCAGTTTTCTCTGGATTTTGATGTGGCATTTTATTATTATAATCTTCTCAACCGTCTATTCCTTCTTAATAAAATCAACGGTCACAATATTGTATTCATTGTAGCCTATATATTGAAATGTGTCCAACAAACGTTCTCACAACATAAAGGTTAGTATTTTTCATAACTGAGCACTGAGCACTGTATTGTTGAGGTGACAAGATTACGTAAATGCTAACTTCAAAATTCTTTAAGCGTAATGTATATACTGTTAATGCCGTTTACATACTGTTATTATCTTCATAAATGATTGTTTACTTCGATTTTCAACGAAAACACGGTTTTTTATGAGATTCTACATGTACAAATCAATATGGCGCACCATTTCATGTAGATTAAACAATACTTCGTCTTCATTTTATTTGGTTCTGATATTATTCCGAGTGAAAAAAGTAGTAGGGATACTTTAAAATGTTGAGAAATCATCAGCTGTTTTGCAAACCAATTCAAGTGAACTTATATAATTTTGTATGACTACTGTAGAGAAAACTAATCACAACTCAGAAACATCTGATAAAAAAAAGCTAACAACGATATCCCACCAAATCTTTTTTATATTTGAGTTAAAAAGTTAAACTACGTATATTTTCGTTGTCTCAAGTTATAGAACGAAATAAATCTTGACCGATTTTTCTTAGCTTACAGAATCACCTTAGTTGGTAAACACAGGTGATGCAATTGTGGGAATATTGGTTACATAAAAAACACTTTTAAGAATTGATTGAAAATTGTTTGAATATAGTATTCGGCTAGTTAAAACAGTTCTGGAAACTCAGTATAAATAAAGGTATTTTTTATTTATTCGAATCCGAACCCTTTTGTGTGTTATCGAGTGTTGTGTGATATTACGTCGTAGTTTCGCAGACGTTCACAACTTAACCAGCGGTGGCGGGTTTATTTACTCAATTTGTTGACAATACGGTATTGTTCGTTATCAAATGCAAATATTCCACGGTACTTCACCTCCGCTCAACCGAGGAAAGCGCCGAAACAGCAGCCCTGAACAAACACTGGCGTTTGCTGGCCGCACAAGTCTACGATGAATACCCTATATAAGTTAATTTTCTTTTTACCATCTAAAAACTCTTAAAATATCTTCATTTTGATTTTGTTTTATTTACATTATTGAATATGTATTCTTAAATTTCGGGAATAGAAACCCGCAATGAGAATTTGAGTTTTCCCTCCCCCGTTAAACATGAGCTGGTAAATGGATTAAATGTTTATGCTGCAGTACTTTCTTTTACTAGATTATGTCTAGATGTGGTAGGGGTTGTTTATTTAATGTATTAAAAACTGGTGGACATAAAAAAGCATGCTATCAAACATAGTTTCACATGTCCGTAATTCTTTACTTAATGGTCAAATGCCGTTTAAAATCTCAAAATTGTTTTCTATGCGATAAATGCATTACTGTGACTATTTACAAACTAAAAATCGTAAAATCCTAGTAAGACTTTATACAAATCGGACACCAGTTTTTTATGGTGATCGGTTTGTGTATTTTCAATTTGTATCTAGTCTAGCTACCATTTTTCAAGTAGTTGTCAGCAAATGCAACTATACTAAGTACCACTTCTTCTGCAGGGACCTGAACGCAGGGCTGCGATGTATCGATGAGTACACCAGGAAGTGCATGGCGCCCCATCAGAGATCGCACTTCAACAAACTCTACGCAGGAAGTTCTATGGTGATTCAGGAGATCTGCCAGGAGGGCCCGTACCAGGATGGTAAGTCTATCTAAGTTCTGAAGTAGTTCTAATTTCTAGCAAGTTCTAGAAATATATAAGTTCATCTAGACAATTATAATTTGAGGTATAAGTAGATTTTGCTCCTCGTTCAACTTTCATTTCACTGGCCTTGGCTTGGAACGCCTTTAGAAACATTTATTTTAAATATGAGTTGTGATGTAGTATGCCTAATCCTTAAAAAATACCTTGGATGCTATTTAAAAGCTTTATTTGCAATTTTTATTTATTTAGACGGAAACCCCATTACAGTTGATATATGTTCTAACAAGTACGAATAATATGAATACAATAAGTGAATATAACTATGCATAGATAATCGTGTGAACAATAACTGCAATAAACTATGGAAAAGTGTAGTCCTAACTATAAAATAATCAATATTGACATTTAAAAATAAGGCAAGAATACATGTCTTGAGATATTGATTTGATCTCAACCTGATTAAACAGGATGAAGTTAAAAAAGGTAAAATACAACTGTAACCGCAATAATCTCGTCAATAACTTAAATAACAATTAAAAGCAAACAACAAAGCGAAAATTATTTAAATTTGTGACTTGTATTGGGGAAGTTTTTATACTATTTCCTACAAAATCTTGACTGAAATTGAACTTTTAACGAAGTACTGTAAACTGAACGAATTCGAGACAAGTGAAAATATGATAACCTTCTGAACTGATAACTCTATGAATAATTTCGATTCCTATATATATTTACATTTAGTGACTATCTATAACGAGAAATAACATTCGAACTAGGTTTCAAAATAAACCTACAAAAACCATTGATTTTGAACTGATTTGTATATTTTTATTCTAAAATTTACATTATACATAAAATTAATAAGATTACGAAAAGGATTTCACAAACTTCGCATGCCTTTTCCAAATTCATGGTAGGACTTTGAAAACTTGTGAACCGGGTTTTATCCGGCTTATACAGGTATTCGCCTCTCAAGCTGTCACTTTTGTTTCGTTTTTTGACCATACGGTTGCGTAATATGATTCGCCTTGTCCTATCTGCGCATGCAAAATGATTGACTACTTTTTATTGAATTCAAACGTGTTTAATTTGGGACAGTCATTTTGATAAGAATGTAAGGTGTAATTATCATTGGAATGTAAGATTGTATTGTATGTCGTATTTTATGAAATTTATTAATGTTTCAGAAACATGTGACTGTATGACATTACATACAATCTTAAAGCTTTAAATTATTTTTAATTCTGTGTCAGCACAGAAATTAGAAACAGTTTTATAATATATACATATGTAAACGCCCAAACATTAAATTGTTTGATGTAGTCCAGAAATTGTTCATCTTTTATTTCTAAGTTATTTGTAATTATTGTTAACCCTTATGACGTATAGGCACCAAATAATTTTTTTTGATGCGTTTTCTAGGATCCTTACATATTGCTTGATTTGAAAATTAAAAACTTAAAACCTACAGTACCTTAACAGCAGGCCAATTTAGAATCATTTTACGCACAGGACCTTATTGTGGTTATTAATGAAATTTCCCAAGATTTACAGTAGATTATCTTACAAGTTGATTTCACAGAATTGCACCGACTACCAAAAGTCACAACCGCGTATTTTACAACGACGAAACGAATCCTTACGAAACTGTGACGAAAGCTCGAGGGGGCAAAACTCGCTCAGGCGTTGAGGGCAGCCAAAACCCCAAACGCGCAGTTCCGTTTGATGGGCGAAGATAACGTAGGCACACAGTTCACTTTTTGTGATTTATTTAACCGAAAATTGCCAAGACACTCCTAAATACCTGGGGAACTCGGAAACGTTGCGACAAAAACTGAAGCAGGTGATACCGCTATCTCAGCCAGTTCAACGCTTTTGAGGCCCTAAAACTAAACATTGTTTTAAATTTTGAGTGGTCTGGTAACGGTTTATACGTGAAAGAATTGTGAACATTATTTTACTGTATTTGAATAGCATTGATAAAATACTTAACCTGCTAGTATAAAAGAGGTGAAGCCATACAGTCACGTAAAAGTTAACACAAATCATTAGATTTTACAAAGTTTTATTGCGGACATTTTCCATCACGATGGTAAAATACACAGTGATGGAAAATGACCACAATAAACCTTTGAACATTAACTCACCATCACCAACAATGAACTTTAAACAAAGAAAAGTCATAAGGCTTTGTAGTATCAATGCGTTAAGTAGGCTTGGGATAATGAGTTGTGAAATAATTCCACAAACTGTTAGCTTTAGTTGAGATTCTTTGTCACGTCTTAGAGAGAAATAAACATCATTATAGGCGATTCAAATCCCTCGATTGATGACTAGCACAATACTATAAAGTCGACGCGACACCTGGTTTTGTTAAAATTCTGATGTGTTCACACTACATCTAGGTGTTATTTTGTGAAAGTTTAAGAAATAAATAATATGTTGTATAAACATTTCGTCGACTTTTTACAATAGCTGAATAGATGTCTATAATGAATATAAAATACTCAAACCCTAAACTAAAGCAAATATATACGTCAGGTAGCATTGCTAGATTTTCTAAAATATTTTAAAGATTTGCTAAGTAATATTACGAACAGAAATCGTTCATAAACGGTCACATTGTTGTTGCTTGATTAATAAAATAAAATAATCTAGTAAAAAACTTACAGAATGGACAGTAGTAGTGTAGACAAAAAGAATTAAATATAGACTATCAGCCGTGCTGTGGTAACCGTGGTTACCGTAGGTTATGGCGCACACCGCTGGGAGTGTCGTGTAGTTACGTAGCGCGTACGCTGTTAGATGGCACTCCCAGTGGTGTGCACCAGAACCTATGGTAAGTGCAGCACGGCTGACAGTCTATATTTAATTCTTGTTGTCTATGGTAGTAGGCTGGACAAAGACATTCATTATGAGCGTTAGAGATATCACTAATAAAGATGCATTAATTGGCGAGGACAACTCACTGATGAAGTCTGGGTTGACGAGCTAAATTTCTTAATCTAGTCTAAGTGAGCTGATGGTCAATTGAGTCAATGTTCAGATCTGCCGTCTGGTTTTATTATAACTAAAAATAAATATACCAAATTCTAGTTATTCGATAATTGTTTGTTTTTATTCCCTTAATAAATTCCGAATAGTATCTAAAACCGGTTACTACTGTATATTAAAATTATTATGATTCGTAAACTAATACTTATTAGTATTTTCACTGTTCTTATTTTAAGGAGGAGGTGCATAATTTAAAAAAAAATACGAGTAATACCGTTGCTTACTCCAAACTTAAAAACACCCCAAATATAATCTTTAAAAATATTAGGATACAAATGTTGAAACAAACTGCAGCTTAATTTTTGTAAATGAAATCTTTTTCGTTTGAAATAAATTCGGGTTTCTTTACAATGCTAAACATAAATAAATTAAGCCTAAAATAATGTTATCATCTCCCAGACATTGTTCTGATTTGAGTGAGGCAATTAAAAAAACGTTTGAAGGAATTGCTGGGATCGTTTCCATAGCAGTTCATAAAACAGAAGTTTCGGGATCTGACTTCATTTTAAGGGTGGAAAGAACCTAGAAAAATCGTTAATAGATCAATTCCAAAATTGTTCCATATTACTAAGTTCCTGTATTTTGATTGAAGTTTTAACTTTTACAATCATAAATTCTTAATCGTCGATGGCAATCAATTACTTCTTTGTAGCATCATTAATAAAACGCAAAAAAGTATGTATACTAGTTTGGTTTAAATGCATCAAACTATTTTACTTCATTCCCATTTGCCTTCAACGTTCAAACAATAAACACTGTAGTACTACAAGCTAGCTCAGCAAATTATAATCGCTTAAAAGAATGTCTGCTTGTTCTCCTCTTCATTCATATTTACTTTAGTTCGTACACACACTGTAGTACTACGAGCTAGCTCAGCAAATTGTAATCGTTAAAACGGATGTCTACTTGTTTAGTTTAAATTCATTGAGATAGGTAGGTACTCATCTTCATTCATATTTACTTAAGTTCGTACACCTTGTAGTAATACGAGCTAGCTCAGCAAATTGTAATCTTAAAAACAAATGCCTACTTGATCAGATTCAATTCATTGGAATAGGTAGGTACTCCTCTTCATTCATATTTACTTTAGTCTATACACCTTGTAGTACTACAAGCCAGCTCAGCAAATTGTTAATCGTTAAAACAAATGTCTACTTGGTCAGTTTAAATTCATTGGGATAGGTAGGTACTCCTCTTCATTCATATTTACTTTAGTCTATACACCTTGTACTGTAGTACTACAAGCTAGCTCAGCAAATTATAATCGCAAGCTTTCATCTGTGTTGATTCGTTGACACTTTTATAACCACGTCTTGGCAAGTAAACATCTTTGAGACAGAATGAGTCATTCATTCATCAGCTGTTCAGTGTAGGCCGTACACACAGAGAACGTCACAGATTACGACTTTTGAGATAACACTCCAAACCCAGTGATAAGAGCGTATCGTATGCGCTCGACCTTGCCGCCGGCTTACACGCGGCGGTCCCGTTGCTATAGGCTGTTCATTGAAATTATTTCTGTCCGCATCGAGGCTACGCTGAAGAGAGAGGGAACATTTGACGTCACACATCGCCTGATCTGTGACGTAGGCACACACCTCCCGTCACGTGGCTCCCCCCACTAGAGCCAAACTTGAGACCAGACCAGACCAGACTATAGACTAGAGTGACTATCGCCGTTGCCGCCGAAACAGCGTTGTCAGCGTTTATAGCGCGGCGGGAGGCGGCTCATTCTCGGTGGCGCGGTGGGCCCCCGGAATCTTGCCCCCGATAGGCTAATTCATGTGTACTACCGGGAAACATACCCACCTTTAGCAAATAAATTTGCATAGCTCAAAATCACCCACCTGGAAACTTACACTTCTACCAGAAAATTAATTTGTACGAAGTTTTACACCCCACCAGCAAAGACTAAGAATCTTTACTAGTTTATACACATTTAT